GTACCAGTTAGATTTAAATTACCTGTAGGACACCTAGTAAAAGGGGTCAGAGAAAACTGTAGATATGTGCCCAAAATTTGGGGGAGGAACATGAATACAAATGACCACAAAAGTTGGGGAACATCTATCTCTCTACTAAGCAAATATTTAGGGAAAATTTCCAGGCGATACTCTAAGCACTGACAGGATGAATAAGGCTGGGGACACCATACAAGCAAATGTGACACAAGGAGGTGGCAGAAACATCAGAGATGTATTCACAGACTAGGAGCGACTGAGAGAAGAAACAATGACTTTGAGAGATAAGCTTGATTTTTTTTTATAATTGACACATGTATAGGTTGCAAATAATTTTACTTGAGTTCAGTGCAATTAAAATTGTAACAATCTGATTTAAACCTGAGTCAAATCATCATTTCAAGTCTTTTTATCAACCAAAATTATAGTTTTAAAATTATTGCCCTGGCTGGTATGGCTCAGTGTTTGAGTGCAGGCCAAGTCATCAAGGGATCACAGGTTTGATTCCCAGTCTAGAGCACATGCCTGGGTTGTGGGCCAGGTCCCCAGTAGGGGGTGCCCAAGAGGCAACCACACATTGATGTTTCTCTCCCTTTCTTTCTCCCTCTTTTCCCCTCTGTCTAAAAAACAAATAAGTAAATTTTTTTTAAAAAATGATCTTGTAGTCTAATGGTAGAAAACAGACATTTAGCAGATCACACAAATTCTGTATAGTTAATGGCAATCAAAATGTCAAATCAGGCACAAATGAACATTTTAGAGAAATATACATTCCTATGAGAAACTTGCCTCATCGATTAAAGGATATTCATAAAGAAGTAGAAATTATAAAGAACTAGATTAAAATTATGGAATTAAAAACTTTAATAATAAAAATAAAGAATGTACTAGAGAGGCACAACAGTATGTTTGAGCAGCCAGAAAATGGAACTGGCATTGTGAAAACAGGCCAGTCGATACTATTTTATCCAAGTAACACACACACAAAAATAAACAGAGCCTCAGAGGCTATGGGACATTATCAAGCATACCAAAATATCCATGATGAGAGAGCTACCCAGAAGAAGAGAAAGGGGAAGAAAGAACTTTGAAGAAGAGAAGTAATGGCTAAAAACTTCCTAAATTTGATGGGAAAATGTAGACCTATATATTTAAGAAGCTCCATGAGCTACAAGTAAGATAAACAAAGATATTCATGATGCATGACAAACTCTCAAAAACCAAAGCCAAAAAGAGAATTTTGAAAGCAATAAGAGAGAAGTAACTTATCATGCACAAGATTCACTAGTAAGATTAACAGCTAACTTCTTAACAGAACCCATGGAGGCCATAATGCAGTGGGAGAACATATGCAAAGGGCTAAACATAAAAGACAACCAATCACAAATTTTATATCCAACAAAATAATCCTTCAAAAATAATGAGGAAAATTAAGACATTGCCAGGTAAGCAAAAACTGATAGAATGTTTTGCTAGCCAGCATGGCCTACGAGAAATACCAAAGGGAGTCTCTGAGGCTAAACATGAAAGGACACTACACAGCAACTTAAATCTACATAAATAAATAAAGAGGAATATATAAATAACTACACACCTAGGTAAGTACAAAAGGCAGTATAAATATTCTCCTTTTCTCTCCTACCTGATTTTTTAAAACTACAAAGAATAATAATTACAAATTAGTATTGAAGAGTATACCATGTACAAAATGCAATCTGTATAAATGACAGTAAAGCACAAAGGAGATTACAGAAAACCCAGTATTTCTGAATCTTTTATTGTTTAATAAGGAAATAATGTGGATTTTTAAATGTGGAGAAAACTTCCATTAAAAATATATGTAAGACAGACTTATCTGCAGACTCCATCCTCAAGCAACCAGTTTGGGAACTCTGCTATAATGCCACTTGAAGCCCTATAAAGTTCATAAAATATGTAAAATTATCCCATTTTATCCTCACTAATGTCATCAATAGGTCTCATAAATTGACTTTAAGCAAAACAATATATAATGAAACCAATTTTACCATAGGCTAATTGATATAAACAAGACTTAAATTCCTATTTTGGTCACAAGAATATCATCAAACTAAATAAAGCCCCAAGACACTTCTGATCTGAAACATTGAAATAAATGTGAGCTATGCATGCAGTTAAGAAAAATTAATAAAAACAAGTAAGACAACTGTTTTCCAGCCCACTTATTCCAGCTCTGGGTTGCAGGTGGCCAGAGCTCACCCCAGCTGCTGGGGAGGAGAGGCAGGAAGCAAACCTTCCGTCATAGAGCCACACACAGCCCCGAACTCGCCCAGACTGGGAGAACCCAGACATGCCAGCTGACCTCACATACACATCTTTGGAATGTGGGGAAAACACAAAGCACCCAGGGAAAACTCACATTGATATGCAACAATGCGAAAACTCCACACAGAAAGTGACTCTGCCCCAAAATCCATTTCTTTCCCTCATCAACATTTTGATGAAATGATGTTGAATGAAATGAAATTACTCAAGGACCTGCTATATAGGAAATTCACTCTCTAAAAGTATAAGCAATCTGTTGCTGGAGCTAGAATATTTATTCAGGTTATTTCCTCCAGAATCCAAATGATTTTTTAATCCTCTGCATCTTTAAGATATAAAAGTTAGTTTAATCATTGCTGAATTCACTTCCTAAAAAAACTGCTATTTCTCAAATGAAGTCCTTTATTGTATGTGTGAGCGCTCTAATGTGTTATTTTATAAAAGCTTGTAGTAAACTACCACTCCAATGTGAGAAACACTAGAGAAGATATTCATTTTCAACTAAAAATATAAACTTATAACCATCATCTCATCCAAAGTGTTCATTCTTGGATGTAAGGGATGGAAAATATTTTTACTGAGTGACTATTGTATGTCAGACACTCAGATCAGCACTAGGCTCACACAGTGAGAAAGACAAAGTCCCTGCCTCCCTGGAATGTATATTATAGGAGCATAAAGAAAATAAACACACAAAAAAGAAAATTACAAATAAAAATAAGTGAAATAAAGAAATGACAAAAGAAGTCAAAGAAAGCACAGACAGAAAAACTTTGTAAGACTTTAATATTTAAGCCATGATCTAAAGGCTGAAATTAAGCCAGTGTATAAGAAAAAGAGCTGTGGCTAGGCAGGCTTACCATGCTGCTATAACCACAAGACTGGTACATGTTCAGCACCTATTTTGCCCATACCAGAAAGTTTTGTGGCTAAAGGGGAAAAAAAGGAAAGAGATTAAGAATAATTAAAAGAAGAAGAGTAACAGAAGCAATGTCTAATATTTGTCGATCACAGAAGAAAACTGAAATATTGGTCACATTTTTTTCATTTCCTTGTAAATGATATACATATACCCTTGCTACAATCTCATAAACGTGAAGTGCACCTGCATACTATACTGATGTCAGGATTGGTCACATGGCGTGTTCAAAGGAATGTGAATGCAAGTGGCACTGTGCTAGTTTCCTGTCTAGTTCTTATCAAAATCATATCTTCCCACTTGTTCTCTCATTATTTCTGCCACTGTTGTAAGAACTTCCCCAAGGTAGCTGCTGCCACTTCAGCCTGAGCTCCAGAAAACACACACACATGCAGCACAAACCTGAGCACAGCCCTCAAAAAGCAGCTACACATAAAAGAAAACAGCCACAACTAGAGCCACCCAGTCAAGCCCAGCCTAGTCTGACCAATGCCCAGCCAACCAGAGATGAGTGAGCAAGAACAAATGATTGTTCTTTCATGCCATGCAGTTTTCCGAGTATTCATAGATAATAACTGCTAACAAACATTTCTATCATCAGTCACTGTTCTTGGAATTTTACGTGGGTTAGCTCATCCAAACTTTCCACAGACCCTATGACATAAATACTACGGTTAGCCTTACTCACCTGTTAAGAAAACTGACATTGACAGGTTGAGTAATCTACTTACAGTCACAGCTAATAATAACTGGGAGAATCAAGCAGCAAACTCACACAGTATAATTTCAAAGTCCTATGGCTCATTATGACTGTGATAGTCTCTCTGTCCTACTTGGCTTCAGTTTGCTATTAAGACCATCGATAAATACATCCTTGTTCTATTTCATCTAATACTGATGGATGTAAACTATAAAAAAATATAAAACTAGGGACTCTGTGTTTCCAGATTTGTTTTTGTTGTTCCTGCCTCGGTTAGGACCACTTCACCTGGGTGCAAACTGAACAGGGTGCTACCACACCTAGATACTACTTTAAACAACATCATTGGTTTATCTTCCAGAAAATATAGAACCAAGAAGTAAGCTGCTACACAAGAAAAAAGATGCTATTTATCATTTACTGATTATAAAAAATATTAAATTAAATTCCATTCGTACAAGACTATCTTACTGAAAATAATATGTTCTTTTCAGATGATATAACTACACAATTTTATAGTAACAACAACCTCTTGAAAAAGAAAATAATGACAATGATATTCTTTTGATAAATAAAACAGAGCTAATAAGTTCCTTATTCTGAATCAATAAAGCCATAAGCATAAAAACTAGAATTTATTTAATGCAGCTTTTCTCATAGCTTTTTTTCCCTCATAATATCATACTGCTTTATATAGCACTAGGACAAGATATAACACGCTGATTTGTAATACGGCTGAAAACAAAGGGTATTTATGCATTCCACAACCCACAAGAACCAGGCATGCAGTAAGCAGACTGGCCAACTTCTAATGAAAGGAAAGAAGTCTGTGACTTCTGATACTCTTAACTGCATTTAATATTTTGTGCTGGGGAATACACAGGCCACACAAAATGAAGTAACCTATCTTTATCAGCCTAAGGAGGCTTTGGACATTTACTCTTTTTCTTTCTTTCTTTTTTTTATAAATTTACAGGGTAACTTGAGATTACTTTAAAAGAAAGGAAATGGAAAAAAGTCTGGCCAAATCATCTTAGAATGTAGCTATTTTTTTTTCCACCATGTCACTTGCGTTTAAAAAGACCACCAGCCAGGGAGCAGTGGACCCCAGTTATGCGCAAGCTCTAGAGACCCCACCACTTGCAGGGGCAGCAGGGGCTCAAAGGCAGCACGTAGAATGTAGTTATATTTTTTAATGGAAGATATATTTTTTTCCTTGCAGCTTGCTTATTACCCTAAAGACTATCATGGCTAAGAAGTTCTAAGCATGCATTTCCAAAAAGGAATTTAACGTCATTAAACACATAACTTAGTAAGATGTTTCCAGAACCTCATCACTGACCTACAGCCATCCAAAAATAATGGAGTTAGTCATCCTACTTATTTCTACAATTTCAAATATACTTAGTCCCCTAAGGTATGTATATCAAAAACACACTTAACAGGAGGACAAAATCACAAAGTGAAAACAAAAAGATGAAAACCACACAAATAAAGACAGATAATATGCTAACAAAAAAGCACTGCTGAATATACGCTAACCAACTACGGAAACAGTCTCTAGGGTTACCAAACCTTATTAAAAATACATTTATAGAAATAATCGTACTCTTTACAGGCAGGTGTCATCAAAATGTATGAGGCTAAAGCATGCCATATTGTAAGACTCCATTTCAGGAAACATAACGGATATTGTAGTCAGGCTGTAAACTTTATTTTGCTTTTGATGGCAAATAGATATTGACCCTGTGCAAGTTTTTGGACTTCTTAATCACAAAATGGGAATAACACCTTCCACTTACTCTGCCTTCCACAGAGTGGGTACTCAATGAACTGGTTTCCCTTTTCCTTTGCGTGAATCAAAAATTCCATATCGATTTAACAAAGGAAGTGTATCCTAGAATGATGCCAAAGAGGACATTTTAATTCAGTTTCAAATGACCTAGCAGTCTAAAGAGAGGAAAAAAAACAGATGTGCTCCTCCCTAGTCAATCCCCACTCTACACACACTCCCAGCTCATGCAGAAAATGCCCGCTCACAGTGGAAGGCACAAGGGACACCCAAACGAGAAATGCAATCAAAGCAAAGGGCAAGTAGCTCTAAATCAAGTAATAGGGATTCATCTCTTTTGTTCAGTTAATATATTCTAATATTTAATTGCTATGTGTACATTTTAAAGTAAGAAATACATGATTGAATAGAAATGCAATATGGCTAATGTTTTTTAATTCTATAAGCCACAGGTGGCAAACACAAAGCCGGTGGGCTGAATCTGGCCCTCCACCTTGTTTTTATCCAGCCCAGCACCTTGTTTCTATCCAGTGGCAGTGCTGAGCTCCTTGCCCCTATAGTTAAGGAGCAGTTACATTTATACAGTTCTAACATTACATTCAGCCTTTTGAAGGCTGATGTGGCCCCGGGTGAAAATGAGTTTGAAATCCCTGCTATAAGCTAAAAGATCAATTTACAGGAGCTTTGCATACAAAGACTAGTATTTTTGGCATTGAAATGAGCCTTCTGGTCCCCCCACACCAACTTCACTAATTTAAGTCTAAAATCTCTTTCAAAGCAAGTGTTTCTTCCCTAACACAACTTAAAATATCCTTTTAGTGATTCATCTGACAGATGTGTTACCACTATAATGCCTTGTGTATAAAGCATTCCACCGGTTCAGTCTGTTGGGCAGCATTGATAGCTCGTGCCAGTTTATGCTCGTATAACCAAGCAAATGAACACTGGATGTCTTTTCAATCTCTACTTGCTTTTTTTCTCTCAGATAATCATCGCCTTATCCAACCCTTTGCCTGTTTCTGAATCATAAAATCAGAGCTAGGAGAATTTTAGATCACGCAGTCCCAATCCTTCACTTACAGGCATATATATGCCCAGAGGAATGAAAACCTGTGCCCATTATTCTTCAAGGTCACTGAGCTAGATAAAAACATACAGCAGTTGAACCCCCAACATCATTACTTCTGGACCCTTCCAACACGAGGGAACAGACTTGAGGAAGAAAGAGAGGAATGTTACAATGCCAGAGTGCAAGGCAGGCGGACCCAGCAGAGGAGGCACTACCAGAACAGGGACTTGGGCAGGCACGGGCTCAAGGTGTCAGTTCATCCAGCACTACAGTATAAAGAGCTGTGTTCGCTATGATGACCGCAAGGCACTAATGCCCATCACTGCTTTATATATAACAATGTCTTTTTAAAAATCAAATGATTTGACCACAGTTGTAATAGTAGCAATACCTTTCTGATTTAACAACTTAAATACCCTATCTATCATACTGTTGAACAACAACAACACTATTGAATTTTTTTAATTACAAAGAATTTCTAGGGCACTTCCAAATTTATCTCAAAATTATAAACCTTAAAGAAAAAAGTTTACATAATTAATAAGTATGAACATGTGGAAATTTTATTGGGGATGGAACAAATTGAACCAGAGAACAATAGACTTATTCATAATTTATAGCCAATTTCCATTAATTTTCTACTATTTCTACATACCTCCTTTTCAAAACCGCAGCAAAGATTATATTTTTAATCCCCCTCCATGGACAAAACTACCAAGGCTCAAAGAAGAATCTAGCAGGGAACTTGAACCTCTGTTTTATGCATCAGACTACCTCCTAGGAGGTTTATGAAGTGTATGGCCTTCTTGGCAGTCAGCGTTGCACATAAATTTCACTAACGACCAACCCTTGTCCAAAATATTCTCAGTGAAAACTGATTTCTATTAGTCCTAAAAAGATTTAGAAAAAAATAAGCTTATTCAAAAGCACATAAAAATAGCCCCTTTAACTGAGCAGATAATGCTTAACTACATCTCTAGCTTATGATCTGAAATATCAAACTCCTGCTCAGGATATTAATGCCTTCAAATAATAATGTCCACAAAATAATGACAAACTTTGAAATCACATGTAGGGAAATGATTAAATTTTTACTTGTTAAAAGTCCATAATAGTTAACATGCTGAAGGGCACAAAGTTAGAAGGGTTGTATCCCAAAGAACTGTTTCACATCTCATTATTCTCTACAAGGAAGGAGGTTCCTAAATATGCCAGCTTTAATATTAGTAGTTAATAACTTTCATGTCATTATATCTGACTTTTCAATATTCTAGGCAGAAGACCAACAAAACAAAACCCTGCCAGAACCACTTAAAAGCAAAACTTTCCTCCTAGTTCTTTCAGCAATACTTTGTGTGAAACACCCAAGAAGAAAGCTGTATTACAAACTCAACTTTGGCACCGAACACCACGTAAAATTTTCCTTTTTAAGAAAGAGGCATATCTTCTAAAAATGTATTATTTTTTAGGTAAAAATGAAGGTAAACAGTGTCATTTGGTGATGGTAAAAAACAGTCAGGATTGCTGGTACAACAGGTAAGGGGACACAGGATGTACACAACACCCCAGTTGAATTAGATGATGTGCCAGTCTGAGAGCAGAGCCACAGTAAGTGATAGGTGATAGGGGTCATAGAAATTAGACTTTTACAGGTGTGTCACTGGGGAAGGTGTAGACGGGAAGAGCTGGCTGAAGAATTAGAGAAGATATCATTGACTAGTCAAGCTTGCTAGACGAGCACATCCAGCCATTAAACGGAGACCTTGAGGGGGAAAGACATGGAGAAACAGTTACAACCATGTAGCTGCTGCCTGAATGGGTCCTGGGCCAAGTATCCAGTAATGAACCATAGCTAACCATAGCTAGTCATAGTCAATAGTTCTAGCATTCAAGGGGACAATGAGATGGCAAGGAAAAGCTGGAACCCATCAGACACCTTGTGCCTGGTTGTCGCTTTATCTAACAGTAAAAAGACATTAAGAGAAAATGGTTTCTGCTTTACTTCAGCCTTCTAAATTTCACTCACATAGACTTCTGGTCAAGATGGCAGCATAAGTAAACACAGCTCGCCTCCTGGCACAACGACATTAAGATTACAATTAAATTATAAAATAACCATCACTCAGAAACATCAGAAATTGGGTTGACTTGAAGTCTGACAACTACAGAATTAAAGAAACCACATCCATCCAGACTGGTAGAAGGGGCAAAGACATGGAATGAGCTGGTCCCACATTCACATGTGGTGGATAAAAATGTGAAAAGGATATCTTGGGAGTGAAGAGTCCCAGCCCCACAACAGGCTCCCCAGCCCAGGGTTCCAGTTCCATGAAGAAGAGTCCCCACAACTTCTGGCTGCAAAAACCAGAAGAAACTTCTGGAATTTGAAGCAGTTCTTCTTAAAGAACCTATATATGGACTCACTCAGACTCACACCCTCTGAGCTCCAGCATGGAAACCACCATCGGCATACATGGAGGAACTGAATGCCTGGCATCAAGGCAATAGCTCAGGGACAGTTTTCTCCAAGACATAAAGGCAGGCAGAGACCACTGTTCTTTTTCTGACCCCTCACCCTATAGAGCCACAGAGCTGACAGGTACCTAATCGGAGACGCCATCAACATGGCTGACACTGTTTGCTCCGCCCTGGAGATCCCCTAAGGCTTCATCCCACCCAATTTACAGCAGTTAACAGTGAGTTTTCCATATCCATGGCTGGTCTACATTTATGCTTCACAACTTTCTAAATCCTATCAAACAAGCAACAGCTGGCCTCAGTGAGTTCCCATCCCTCATATCTCTTGCTAAGTGGCCCCAGGCCAGACAAGATCAGTAGCCAGCCTAAATTCACAACCTGGCTTGGTCTGGGGATCTCCAAGCCCAGCATGAATAGCAGCTATTTCAGACTGCGTTATAGCTTAAGCAGGGTGGCCCCGGGCAAAACTCAGGTGGGGATTGGTCTTGGTCTCCACCACCCAGAAAGCCCTAGGGCCTGCTCACCAAGTGGACAGTAACAGATCACATTGGAGCACCACCACCCTGCACAGCTGATCCTCCACAAAGGGTAGAGGTTGGTGGTCAGTGGTCAGAACCAGTCCTTGCACTGACCAGCCTGGTAAATCTCTACACTGATCTGCCAACAGCAACCAAGACACAACTATAAGAGGAGGATGTACTCAGCGATAAGAAAGGTGCCCCTCAAGTACCAGCTTGAGTGATAAGGGAGGCTGTGTCACTGGATCCTACAGAACACCTACTACATTAGGCCATGCTACCAAGACAGGAAGTCATAGCAGCTCTACCT